AAATGATTATCTTTTTTTGTAGTGGTGAGGGCATGCATCACCCACCAGATGTGTATAGAGTCAGAGGAAAACTATCCCCACCAGATAGGTTCCAGGGATCAAACACAGGTCATCGGGCTTGGTGTCAAGTCCCCCTACATACTACGCCCATCTTGCTAGCCCAACTTTAAATAATGTTGTTTTTTTAAACTCCTATGTCACACCTTAACTCCTAGGGGAAAAACAAAATCTCCATAGAACTCTAAGGTTGTCTATAATTCAAATAGCAAGGGAAAAAGGTGAATTCCACTACAAAGTAAATCCATTTTCCATCATGCTGTTTTCCCAGTATTTCATTCCTGTAGCTTTCTTTAAAAGTGTCTAATATATATTTTTCCTTTCTTAATAAAAACTTATACTATAATATTAAATGCATCCCATTCCTACAGGTAAGAATTAATAAGCAATAGTGAACATAATAAAATCCCATGTGGTCATCATCTTCCAAACATGAGGCAATACCTTTCATACATACACAGTGGACATTCATAAAACACAGCTTCCATCACAGATGGTGTGAAAGGCAGAAAGCAGGAAATGTTGGTGTGATGAAATCTCTGGGAGTCTTCACACACACATGAGGTAACATGTTGCCTCTTCTGCTTAAACAGAAGCAGTTTTAAAAGATCTTTCCAGAAGGTGAATGTAACCTTCCAAGTCTTTGAATTTAAATTTCACACTGTGATGTTCTGAGAAATGTGTCTCTCTCTAAGTTATCAAGGACTTGAATCAACACAGTAGAATCACACGTTTGGTCAGAAAGATGAGTCATATTCCAGAATCCTCTCTACTGTAAGCCTGGTAGCTTAAAAGAAATATTTGTCTTAACCTTCCAAAGATCATCAAAACAAAGCTGTGGTGGGTGAAATGAACACATCACTCAGAAACACACACACACACACACAGACACACACACACACACACACACACACACACACAGACACACACACACACACGTGCAGCAGCCAAGAACAGGGACAATTTGATTTCTGTTCAGGGAGACCACCTTTACCCTATTCTACACAGCCTGGCAGGAATGTATGTGTATTACAGGAATATCAAAAGGAAATCAGTGGAGTCCTCCACCATCAAACATTTTCTTTCAAAGGCTTTTTCAAAGGTTTCCGTCCAGAGCTAAAATTCTACCTCCTCAAAAGTGAATGAGAGGCATAGAATGAAGCTCTCTGAGAGTTCCCTGCTATCCAAAAGCAAGCCCTGCCCACTACCAATGTCCTCTGTGAAGCGCTTTGAGGAAATGAGCAAGCCTGCCTGCCTCTATCTTAAAAAAGAAAATCATTCCTGTCACAATCCATGTCTCCATTAAAGCCACAGGCCTGCTCATCTTACATAGATACTAGATGACTTCTAACAAACACTTCAGAGAGGCTTGATCAGCCAGATACTACCTCCAGCTCTCTGCATTTATTTTCAGTGAGGGTGGGCTACAGTGTAACTATTTGAAATATTGGAGCATTGGATTATACATGCAAAAAAAGTAGATTTCAATACTAAAAGAGGGAACATATTAAATAAAAGGCAAATAATTTCAGGATGTTCCTGAGTATCAAGGAAGAGGGAACAACTAAACACTGCATATTAGTCACGTGCTCTGAGCTTTCGGCATTAACCATTTGCTACTTCCATGCCATGTTTTTTTTTTCTGATTTTTTTAAAGGTATGGTTTTGTTATATAACTGTAGCTCTGGATAACCAAGTATTCACTATGTAGCCCAAGCTTGCCTTGAACTCGCAAATGCTGAGATTACTTATAGCCTTGTGCCAGAATGCCTATCATTTTCAATTATGAGGTTTTATTTTGCCTTATTATTTTTCAAGTAGGCTACAAAGTATCAAATAACAGGAAATAGATTTATTTCCAGTAATAAAATGTCAAACCAAAGTGAAGAAGATACCGTGCCTGCTATTAGAAGTTCAAGTAGGGTTTCTGAGAGGGTCTAGCCTATTCCCCAACTAGCACAGCTTGGCTGTGTGTGGTGCACTGACTCACATTTAATACCATCAATATGGATGCCAAGCAGGAAATACAGGAGAGAAGAGAGTTTGAAAGTTTTTTCAGGTTCCTGGAACTTCACAGCTGCACAGTAAGCTCACATCTCTTTAGCCTCAAATCAAACAAACACAAAAGAATTTGCAGTTGAATGCTCCAAGGAGACTTCCCTAATAGAAGTGAAGTATCATTGAGAAATGAGCAAATACAACATTCAACTAGGATGATACAGGAACACACTCGTGCATGCGAGCACACACACACACACATACACACACACACACGCACGCTTTGGGCAAATTACCAAATTACTTTTACTCTCTTGGGCAAACTACTCTCTTGGGGCAGAATGTCTAGAGCTCTGAAACTGCAATCACGAAAGTTTCAATGTATTTCCTTCACTTGTCATGTGTTTTCTGAGGGGTCACATCAGGGCAGTTCCTCTCACTGTGTGTTAGATGTCTGCAGCCATCCAGGCTATAAACTTGTAAAATAGAGTCCATTCTTCCAGTTCTTGAAGATTCCTTTCCCATGATGTTCTTCTGCATCATTCCTGCCTTGGGTAGCAGAGGCTGGGAGAAGGAATGACGTCCTGACAAGTCTGTCACTGCTGAAACAGCGCCCTGATGACCCATGTTAACTACAGTGACCCTGTAGCTGACCTCTGTCCTGTCTTCTATCCATGTGATTCACGGCCAGGCAGCATTCCTTCTTTGCATGGATCTGATTATGTTTCTACCCTGCTCATTCATTTTGAATTGTTTCCCAGTGCTTCCAGAATATAAATATATAAGGCACTAAAAGTCCCTAATGGTCTGGTACAAATTTGTTTATTTTTATATTGGCTCCTACAGTCCTGCCTCCCTCTCTCTCTGTAACACACTCTTCCCAGAACATTTTATAAATTGACATACGGTAATCATGCATATTTATGGAGTATAATATGATAATTTATACACATATACAATGTGTAATGATCAAATCACTGTAACTAGCATGTCCATTCCTTAGCTTATCATTTCTTTATGTTGAGAAATTTTGAGTGATCTTCTAGTTCCTTATAAACTGTGTCACAAATTATTGTGAACTATAGTCACCTCATGACACCAGATGTAGAACATCAGAACTAAACTCTTATGTAACTCACAACATGTTGACCTTGAACATAAACAGACGGGATCTGTGCCTTGGTTTCCAATGGTTGTCACTCTCTTTCGAAGGAAGCCTTGCTCTTCCACCATGATAAGATAAAAAAATAAAAAAAAAATCAGGGTAGACTCAGAAGTCTTAAAGTATCCATAATTTCCCCTATCCCCCCATGGATCCACCTTAGTTCAAGCTCTGTAGTTCTAACATTTGGGGTCTAGTGTTTTACAGCAAGTTTTGAGTTCTTAGTACTTATCCTTAATTTCTAATCCATCGTCAAGGTCTCTCTCTCTCTCTCTCTCACTCATTTTACATACTCCCCTCCACTCCTCCCCAACCCACCTCCAACCATTCCTCAGAAAGCGTAGGGCCCTCCTGTGGGGAATCACAAATCCTGGCATATTCAGTTGAGGCAGGACCGCCCACCACACACATTAGGGCTGAGCAAGGCTCCTCACCATAAGGAATAGGCTTCAAAAAGCCAGCTCATGCACCAGGGATAGATCCTGATTCCACTGCTGTGGTCCCACAAACAGATCAGGCTACAAAACGGTCACCCACATGCAGAGGGTCTGATTCAGTCCCACACAGGCTCCCAGCTGTATGTCTATACTTCATAAGTTCCCGCAAGTTCAGGTCAACTGTCTATATGGGTTTTCCGTCATGATCTTGACCACCACCCTTGCTCATATAATCCCTCCTCTTCAACTGGTCCTTGGATGTGGATGTCTGCATCTGCTTCCATCAGATGAAGGTTCTATGATGACAGGATGGTCACCAACCTGATTACAGGGAAAGGTCAGTTTAGGCACTCTCTCCACTATTGCTTGGAGTCTTAGTTGGGGTCATTCCTGTGGATTCCTGGGAATTTCCCTAGCATCGGGTTTGTCTCTAGCCCCACAATGGCTCCCTCTATCCAGATTTCTCTTTCCTTGCTCTCCCACCCCATCCCTCCTCCAACTCAACCATACCATTCCCTCATGTTCTCAGACATCAAAATACTAAATAATCCAATTAAAAATGGAGTACAGATCTAAACAGAGAATTCACAGCAGGAGAATCTCAAATGTCAAAAGGACATGTAAGGAATTGTTCAACATCCTTAGTCATCAGGGAAAAGCAAATCAAAACAATTCTGAGACACCATCTCACACCTGTTAGAATAGCTAAAAATCAAAAACACTAATGACTACCTATGTTGGAGAGGGTGTGGAATAAGGGGAACACTCCCCCACTGCTGGTGAGAATGCAAATTTGTACTTTCAAATCAGATGGTGGTTTCTCAGAAAATTGGGAATCAATCTACCTCAGGACCCAGCATTAACACTGTCACTTACATATACTCAAAGGATATTCAACCTTACCACAAGGACACTTGCTCAACTATTTTCATAGCAGCATTATTCATAATAATCAGAACTCAGAAACCACATAGATGCCCCTCAACTGAAGAATGGATAAAGAAAATGTGCTACATTTACACAACGGAGTACTACTCACCAGACCAAAAAAAAAAAAAAGACATCATGAAATTTACAGGCAAATGAATGGAACTAGAAAAAAAAAAAAACCTTCTGAGTAAGGTAACTCAGAAAGACAAACACGGTATGTGCTCACTCATAAGTGGACACTAGATGTAAGGCAAAAGATAATCAGACCACAATCCACGCACAGTTCCAGAAAAACTAGGTAATAAGGAGGACACTGAGAGGGACACATGGATCACCTTGGGAAGGAGAAATATGTGATATTTCCAAGGTTTTGTCTTTTCCTACTCAAGAAAAGTATGGATGGATTCATAGAAGACTGTGTTTTTGAGCATTTAGTTTATATTACCCTGAAAACATTTCTCTGTGAACAATGAAACAAGGAAAACATCTGTTCCCCAAACTGGCAGGCCAGGTGATACAATATCCTCTTCCCTCTTCCTTTTCCTCTCATTTAAACAGAGGCCATCCTTGTTTACAGGATGAGGGCAAGAGGTAAAATTCTTCCCCCAGAGGATGCAGTGCGTGCTGCCCTTATGAAGTTATTGTGTGAAGTCGTTACCCTGGCTGCTCAAGTGGGAGTCACCAGGCACTCAACTGCAGCAGCTTGGGAGAAGCCTGTGGGAGTAAGGGCAGGTCTGGAACCAAAGGCTCCTGGAAGGCCTCTGTCTTCCCTCACTGATGTCACTAAGTTCCTGCTTCAGAACCTGTGGGAATGATGTGTTCCTGAAGAACAGGAGCAGGGCTTTCCTGGAGTACCACGGAGAAACAGATGGTGATTCCCGGCTTCTCTTCCAGGAGTGTCTCCACAAGGCAGCTGTCTCACATCAGAGCTTCCTTCCCACCACACAGACGAGAATGCTGGGACTGGAAGATCAGTGGCTCAGCTTTAAAGAGAAAAGTACAAAGAAAGAAGGCAGAGCTGGAATCCAGAATAGAATTCCTTTGATCCAAAAGTCTAGATTTTCCATTATTCTAGCCTGTTTACAAATCATTGTGGAGACTTGTAATATGAGTTTAGTAGTGGTATGGTAACTCCCCTAATCTAAAGGCACCCCCCTTTTTTTAGGTGTATGACTATTCGTTACTTTGCATGACATAGGTAAATAAATAGTATAGGCAATAACATTACGAATACCAACAATGATACCCTGCCCTACAATTTGAGCAGTACTAATATGAATAAAAGAAACATACAGGATCTCCAAATCCAAAGCACAGAAATAAAATGTCCACATGTAACCAATGTTGGGGGAACAGGCATTGGGGGTGTTGAAACAAGATCTCACATTATAGCTCATACTAACTTAGAACCTCCTTAGGTAGTTCAGGCTGACCTCAAACTCACATGGGGATCCCCCTGCCTCTCCTCCCACCTCAGCCTCCTAGGTACTGTGATTATAGAGGTAAGCCACCGTGCATGATAATTTCACCAAATTTCATTCTTTTACTAGGTATTTTGCATTTTCCATAAATATAAATACAGACAAGTACTGCCAATACATGTATTTGGTCAATAATGTACAAATCTTTTAAAATTCTATGTACTGTTCTGACCCTCAAGGAAAGAGGCCTGTTAATGATAAACAGTAATTAAATGTTCTGATTATGAAGACAGATGACAGAAAAGATAAGCAGGCATACACAATGGAGGCCACTCCAGGAGTGGAACAAGCTGTCAGCCCTTTTGTGACAAACACAAAAAGCAGGTTAGTTATATAGGTAGTTACCCCCTTTTGTACAAACAAATAATAACTGGCTTTGAGGTGAGGCGTTCATTTCACATTGCAGCCCCAACTCGTGTGTGTGTGTGTGTGTGTGTGTGTGTATAAGCGTGTGTATGTGCATTTGCAAATGCTCCCATGTCTACTTATAGAGGCCAAAGGACAGTCTTGGCTGTTATCTTCATTATCCACCACTAACTACCACCACTTTTCTTTTTCTTTTTTTTTTAATTTTTCCTTTGCCCCTTTTTTTTTTTGCAGATTTTTTTATTTGAATTAGAAACAAGATTGTCTTACATGACAATCCCAGTTCCCTTCCCCTTCCTGTCCCCTCCTACCCCCCCCCCCCCAACTAAAACCCTACCTATCACATATCCTTTCTGCTCCCCCTGGATGGTGAGGCCTTCCATAGAGGGGTCATCAGAGTCTATGGTATCCTTTGGGATAGGGCCTAGGCCCACTCCTATGTATCTTGGCTCAGGGAATATTCCTCTATGCTACCACCACTTTTTTTAAAAATTAGGACAGGTTCATTTATTGGCCTGGAAGTTACCAACTAGTATATAAAATAGGTTGACAGTCTGGCTGGAGAGCCCTAAGACTACCTGTCTTTACCTCACCAGTGCTGGGATTACCAAGAATATGCTAGCATGCCTTGTTTTTGTCTACATAGGTTCTAGGCCTTGAACCCTGGTTGTCATACTTACAAGGCAAGCATTTTAAATACAGCTATCTTGCCAGCCCAGCAACACCAACTCTACATTTATTTATGTATCCTTCTTCATATTAAAGACTTGTTGCCTTGCAGAGTAACCCAGAAGCCCATGCAACGGGGGAAGATTTGAGCATCCTTTTGTGTAACTAATGAAACCTTAGAGTACAAAAGCAATCAGAGCAACTCCAGCATTCCAAACACTCTGAGGATCTTTGAAGAAATAGGTAGCCAAGATGCCTGTATGCTTATTACAGCTAACAAAGGAAATACCACAGATCCAAGACAATCATACAAGGGCTACATTGTGTTTTCTCTGTAGTCAATTAGTCTGACCTTTGGAAATGAAATAAGGGGGACCCTGCAAGTGGTTCATGGCAGGCAGGGGTGTGAACCACAAAAAGGTGAGAATAAAAACTCGGTTCAAGACTTTGGTGTGTCTGATGCCATGTGGATTATTTCCAGCAAATTTAAACACTATAATTTTGGGGCATCAGGTTCCTGACATAATCCAATCCCTGGTGCACAAGGCAGCATGATTACATCGAAACTGACTCAGGGTACATGTCATTTCTTCCAAGAAGATGGGTTCTAAAGATAGGCTACCTGTATTTGCCTAAGGGACTAAGGGTCTGGCCTGGTCTCAGTCCTACAGATATCATAGAAGTCATTTAGGTTGTCAGCCACATCTAGTCCTGGTTGTGGGAGCTTGGGGCAGCCTCTGGCTATACAAACAATGGAAGGGGCATTCAGACTATTAGGTATCTCTGGGTCCTGGTTGTGAAAGCTTAGGGAGCCCCTGGCTATGAGGGTTATTTAGATTACTAGCCACTGTCTGTCCCAGTTATAGGAGATTGATATGGCCTGACCCAATAGATAACGAAGATCACTGGGGTACTAACCACTTCCAGCTCCATGCTTTCTGGATGGAAGAACAGGTTTTGCATCCTTCCCAATACAAAGACAACCCTGCATGCTTAATATTTCTGGTTTCCCTGGAGACCTATGAGTTCAGAGACCTTTGAGCTGTGTTCCCAACAAGGAAATATTAAGCATGAAATTTCTTATACTTCTCATACTTTAAAGGTATGATGATAACCCTGGAATACTTTGTGTGTGTTGGGGGGTATGGTGTAAAGAAGATCTCACTATGTATCCCCAGCTGCCCTAGAACTTGCTACATAGACCAGATGAGCCTCAAACTTGAAACAATCTCCCTGCCTCTAACTCATGAGTACGGGACTCATAGGTGTCCCACTGTGCCCAGCAGTATAACCTTTTTTATAATGAATTCCAACTCTATAATGGGGACTCTTCCAAAAATGACCCACATTGACACTGGAAAAAAAATACTGGGTCCAATAATCCAGACACATTGGGTCAAAGTCAGCTTTGCAGCAAAGTTCATGCTCACTTCCTGTCTGCTTCCTCGTCCCAAGTAACAACTGTTTGAGACTGTTCTTTTATGCGTTTTAAGTAAGTGTGGCTAAAACCACAGAGCCTAGTAGTTCTTAAAGCTTTTTTTGTTTTTGTCCTCTCATATAGAAGACCTAGGTATTAACTTAGATCTCTGTCAGCCATGTTCTAGAAAGATCTAATCACTGACATCTGAGCAACATGTCAATGTATAATCATTTCATTTCTATTATATCTTTCTTCAATGGATCTAGCCCTCTATTCCACCACTACTATACCATATTGAAATTATTTATCTTTCTCTCAAGCCTTCTTCACCGGCACCTACACAGACTATATAGTACTCTGCATTCTTTGAAGGTGGAAAGTTGCCACTGTCTCCCTATCTTCAGAGTAATACCAGGGATACAGCTACTTGTTGATATTGCTGCTAATCCAAATGCCACAGATCTGGCCAGGACACAGGACTTCAGGTGCCCTGCTTCCTTGGAGAGCAGCCAGACATGTCAGTACAACCCTGAGGACATAATGGTGAAATGGAGTATATGCAGATTTCTGATAGGAGAATTCTTCCCTAATAAGATAAGTGTTGGAAGTCTATAATTAAAAATAAGCCACTACTGAATTGGTCATACTTAATAAAATCCTCTGCTGCTGGGGAAGGAAATCCAGTGCCCACTTACACATTCTGAAATAAGAAGTAATCTAGTTTTCTTTCTTTCTCTGGATTTATTTATCTTATGAGTGTGAACATTATGTCTGCAGAAATCTATGTGCACCATATGTATGCCTGGTGCCCGCAGAGGTCACACAAGGGCATCAGATACCCTGGAACTGGAAGTTAGAGATACTGTGAGCCCCTGTGTGGGTGCTGGGAACTGAACTCAGGTCCTCTGCAAGAGCAGAAAATCTTCTTAACTGTTGAGCCATACATATCTCCAGCCCTTCCCTCTGTTCTTTTATCTTGGCCCCCTTATAAAGAATCCAGAATCATTGCTACTTAGAACTGACTAATTTGTCAATAGTCACAACCTGTCTTTGTCTTATTGAAGCTTTGGAATACAAGATTTAAAAAAAAAAAAAAAGAAAAGAAAAAGCACAAGAACACAAAGTCCGTAATCCTCCTTGGCACAGCATTAAATTACCACTTCCAACTAATCAACAACTATAATTAAGTCTAATTATAAATTACAAGCACCTAATTTTAGAAGACCTTTGCTTTATAAATGCTAGACATTAGAGACATTATTAACTTCACTATTTGAAATCACGCCAAGGCTGGAAGCCCCCTTTTTGCATGCTTGCCTCATGTATATGGCCTGGAAACAGACGCATAAGAACAGGGTCAGCAGCAAATTAAATGGGGGAAATGTTTGCCTTCCTGGCTAGTTCTTTAGAGGACTTGGCTAATTCCTAGCAAACCTACAAGTCAGTTGCTAAACCAATGAGTGTCAGTGGTTCTTTCCACTGGAATACAGCAGTAGAAAGATTTACTTGCCATTCTGACAATCACTTGGCCATGGCTATGTAATCAGCAACAATGGGTAGTGGGTATAGTCTTCTAATGGAGAGACAGGTGGAGTGACTTGCCTTGGAAGAGAAAGCTAGTATGGGGGTTATCTTTTCTATTCAAGATCGACCTTCTCTTAAGGGAGGTCAGCAGCATGTACCATGTGATGGTGACTTGGGAAGATTCTGAATGTAGCCATCATGGTACCTGCCACACTGCCCAGGCTGGCCATAATCTCTCAAAACATGATAGTTGAGCCTCAGTGGCAAGACAGGCTCAGTACCACCAGACTCCAGCCAGAAATAATGAGTAACTTCGGGTTACTGGGATAAGAAAGATTACTGGCTTTGGGAGTTGTACTTTCTACAATGTGTGTTCCAAAAAATTTAATAGGCTCTGTAACTTTATGCAAATTAATCTTTCTAGGTCTCCAATGCCTCAGCCAACAAGAGAGGGGTTAGTCAGATCACATGGGCTACCACTTTCCATCAGTGGTATATTTACAAGGATAGCACAACTTATCCA